CACTCTCACAATCCATTTCAGTAAAGGTTCCTTAGGAAGCGGATAATACCGATCTTCAAAATAGACCAGTTCTTTCACATTTTACCTTCTGGTTTTAGTGGTTACTTGGTTTTGCCCTTCCCTCACATGAAATATCAGATACTCACACACATACACATTATATACACGACACATCTTGTTTTCAACTGAGCTTTTTTTTTCTTCTTTCTTTTTTTTTTTTTTTTTTTTTAGAGATGGGGTCTTGCTCTGTTGCCCAGGCTAGAGTGCAGTGGTGTAATAATAGCTCACTGTAGCCTTGAAGTCCTGACTACCTTCATGGTAACCACAGGTCTCAGAGGTACTTTCTTTTGTCCCTGCCATAATTTTCCCCTTCATGGGTAGTTTTGAGGCTAATGGCCAGAGCTCAGACAGACTCACATCAGAGCTTGGTTCAGCCTCAAGGCCCAACCCAGTGCTCTCTTTTAATTTCATTTCAGCTAGTAGAGATAACAATAACAAAGGAATTAAATATTGCCCTTTCTGCTTATTTGTATGCCTTTCCTAATGCAGTCAGAGAACCAACTTCCCCAGTTGATCCATCTCTGAATTCCTCTGCTAACTTTTACCTTTAGTAACTGAATGCCATACAGCTGCTGCTCCATACCAGGGGTGACCATGTGGCCAGCTAGGAATCAAAATCTCCTCATTCTCTACCCTTTATCCTTTTCCTTTCTATCCGTTTAATTTTATCCATATCATTTTTCCTTCATTTGAAACAACCTTTAAATAACCTCTAAACTAGGCAAAATTATTTTTCCTTTAAGCCAAAACCATACATCTGTGTTCCTTTATAACCTTCTTTACCAAAGCACATCTTACTTTATACATTCTGTATATAGAATTATATCTAGTAGTTTTAATTACATGTATTAACTATTATTTTAACCCTAATTTCCAATGAATAACCTAGGACTCTTTAATATAACATAATATGACTTTAAGATTTTAAGTTACTGAAAAACATTTGGAAACTAGTTTCATTTACCAAAGAGTACCAAAGTCGCAGGAGCTAAAAGGCATTTCTATTTTCTCTGAGTTCTTTCATATATTTTCATAGTGAAATATCACATGCGTATGACACATCTTATTTTCAGTTTAGTTTCTTTTCTCTCTCTCTTTTTTTTCTTTCTTTTTTTTTTTTTTTTTTTAAGAGACAAGGTCTTCTCTGTCACCCAGGCTGGAGTGCAGTGATGTGATCATAGCTCACTATAGCCTTGAACTCCTTGGTTAAGTGATTCTCCCGCCTCAGCCTCCTGAATAGCTGGGACTACAGGCATGCACCACTGAACCAAGCTAATTTTTAAATTTTGTGTAGAGATGTGATCCCACTTTGTTCCTCAGGGTGGTCTTGAAATCTTGACTTCTAGCAGTCCTCCTGCCTTGGCCTCCCAAATTGCTGGGATTACAGGCGTGAGCCACTGCACCTGGCCAGTTTGTTTCTTAATTCAATCACTGACTTCAGAATGGAGCCCTTTAAGGAAAAGGGCTAACAAAGTATGCAGTTTTTAGGGCCTAATATTTATTGGAAGGCGAACACTCACATCCCCGCCAAAGCCAAAGAAATCAGATAACACGATACAAAAGAGAGAAGAGTTTTAGACCTGGAAAGAATCTGTCTGCTCTGCAACTCTTGGGGTTCTATTAAGAAAAACAGATTCCTCCCAAAAAGGAGTCTGTGGGGCCTTTTCTGTTTTCTCCCAAGGGAGTCCAGGCTGTCAGAAATTCCTTTTTATTAGGTCTTTTATGTGGCATTGAGGGTAGCAGGAAGAAAGAGGGACAGGCAGAAGCAAATGGAGAAACAGAATTCAGTTGACAGAGTTTAACAGAGAAAAAACAGGGGCCTTATAACAACACATGTGTATACATATGTACCCCAAATACCCGTTTTCACTAAGTTGACTTTTGACTCCAGAGCTCTTTAAAAAAAATCTTTTTCCTAATTGTAATTCCTACTCAAGCCATTTTACTTTTGCTTCTGATGCTAGCGGGGGCCTCATCGTCACAAGAGCACCCCACAGAAACAGCCATCCACTGCAGCAGCTGCTCATCGCCCTTCCGTAGTGCATGAGATGGACAGCTTTCCGCTGACAGTCTCTCTAAATGTGACGAGATTTTTGACGTGTCCTGTACTCATGCATAAGTGTCTGAAAGATGAGCCACACCATTCCAGGAAGTGACAGCCACCTAGGACTTCCCCCATGGATCCTTCATTCCCTTTGCTCATTTCTTAGTCTTTCAGCTCCCGATCTGGCTCGCCACATGTTTCGTGGTGGCCAGGTCTATGCAAACCTACCCCCAACTCCATGGCAGCTGACAGGCTAAAGAAAGAGGATGACAAATCCAGTTTCTTAGAAAGAAACATTTAGTAGAGACTCAAGAACAGAAGCCGTGTCTGTGTCCCGGATGGTGGCTAGACAAGATGGCGGATCCCCACTGCAAAAGTTTCTGTAACTTTCAAAAGGTCAAGGCCTAGAGGCTTCTGACAAAATCAGCACTAGCAAAAGCAGCAGGAACAGCTTTAGTGAAATCACTAAGACAGAATTCACACAAGGAACTCAGTGTCTGTACAAGTGAGTAATCTCTAAAATAGCAATTCACAAGGTTAGGGTTGAGGCGGGGTGGTCAGAGGTTCCTTTTGAGATTCTGAACACTTTATGGATACTCCATCCAGAAAAAGGCATAATCACATTTTGCATATGATTTCAGGGGCTTGTTAGACTCCTCTGGAAGTCCATCCATGGTATGAAACTTGGCTAACCTTTGATTTATCAGTTACTCAGCCCTCCATTTACTCAGCTCCTCTCACACTTAGATGATTATATATTATACATTATATTGTATTCCTTGATTTCAATAGAATGTTATCTAGCAGACATACTAATATTTTGGTTATTTACTATATATGAAAGACACAACTTCTTTCTTTTCTTTTTTTTTTTTTTGAGGCAGAGTTTTGCTCTCATTGCCCAGGCTGGAGTGCAGTGGCACCATCTCAGCTAACTGCAACCTCCATCTCCTGGGTTCAAGCGATTCTCCTGCCTCAGCCTCCCAAGTAGCTGGGATTACAGACTCCCACCACCATGCCTGACTAATTTTAAAAATATTTTTAGTAGAGATGGGGTTTCATCATGTTGGCCAGGCTAGTCTCGAACTCCTGACCTCTGGTGATCCACCCGCTTTGGCCTCCCAAAGTGCTGGGATTATAGGTGTGAGCCACTGTGCTCAGCTGATACAACTTCTTTCTAAATAATCTTTATGCAATTTATAAGTTATAATCCTTATTATCCTAACGTAGAAGTATGACCCAATCTTTGAGTTTAGTTTCTTTGTTTACTCATCAAACAGTCTTTCATTTTTAATTGTAAGAAATTAGTTCTGTAACATAAGTGAGCCTGAAAGAAAAAGAACAGGCTCTGATAATGGAGTAGTTTTTATCAGACTAATCTTCCCAGCAGTCCCACACTGTTCCACTCACACACAGTCACTCTCAGTGCCTTCCCAGGGGCAGCCCATAGCAGAATAGGATGCACACTGCTCTGGGATGGAAGGAAAGGCAAGACTTCAAGGACTGGGCCGCCTAGCCAAACCTCTTTGATGTGTTGCATTAAATTTTTGAAGTTTTTATGGATTTTGGAGGCAAGGAGAGATACAATAAAAAGCTCAATTAACTAAATGACTTATCTTTTATCAAAACTTCATCTCACCCTGAATGGGCTTTCAATCATCTCCCTAGTCTCACAAGCGAGCACGGAGGGATCCTTGCCTTGGAATTAGTCAGTTCTCTATGAATAGGCATTTAGGAACGTTTCTCTCTGTAGGTAGAATGTCACATCAGCTACCCAGGCATTTACTTGGTTTCTGTCCTGATAGAGCCCAAGTGCTTATGTGAGAACCTAATTCTCTCACCTTGTCCTCCTGTTCTTATGAGTTTTAAAAATTCTTTTCCTTGACTCCACAAAATGATTGTGTCATTTTGGCTCCTGCCAGGTTAGCAGCTTCCTTGCTTTTGATTCCAACTTCATTGTGTCCCCTAATCCGTAAATGCCTACTTGATTTCAGCCCATTTCCTTGCTGATCTCCAGTGGCACTGGCGTGTGTACAGACACACTGAGTTCCATTTACACGTGCCCGGGGTGTGCACTCAGCCTCACAATCATCCACACTCGTGTCCCCACTTTCCGACAATCACTTGTACTCAGTGTCCTCCATTTACTCAGCCCCAGTCACTCTCGCCCAACCATATACACCTGTTCCATTCACTCACACTCCTGGCCGTTCCCTTCACATTCACATTCCTTCACACTCTTGACTAGCCACCCCACTGCCCTCCATTTAGGCCTACCCGGTCTCACCTAGCCCAACCCATATGTACACCAGAGTCAGCTCACTCACAGTTGCACAGTCAGTCCCTCAAATGCAGTCACTCCCTCAGGAACTCCTTCCCTCTCACTCAAGCGCAATGTCTCATTCATCTTCAGTGCCCTTCACACACTTCATATACACACTGGGTATGTGTCACACCCAGTCACACAAACTTCAGGCACAGCCAGTCCTACCCACACTTATTAACACTTATTTCACTCATGCCCAGCCCCACCCACTCACACCTGGTCACACTCACACGTGGTCCCACACAGTTCCAGTACACCTAGCCTCACACAGCCTCAGTCACATCAGTCATGCCAGTACACCTAGCCTCACACAGTCATGCATACCTAGTCACACTCAGTCACACTTATACATGGTCCCACCCACTCACACTCACACCTAGTCACACTCATATAAGGTCCCACACTGTTCCAATACACCTAGTTTCACACAGTCATACTGACACCTACTCACACTCAGTCACACTCACACCTGGTCCCACACAATCACGCTCACACTAGTCATACTCTATTCTACTATCTCTCAGATAATTCCACTCTATTCCATTCTTTCTGTGTCATTTGTCCCCTCAGAAGGATGCAGCATTCAAGGTTCTGTCTTGGAAGCAGAGACTGGGCCCTCACCAGATGCTGAACTTGCTGAGCACCTTGATCTTCCACTTCACCTTCATCAGAACTGTAAGAATTAACTTTCTATTATTTATAAATTACTCAGTCTAAGATATTTTGTTATAGCAGCAGGATCAGATTGAGGGAAGGAATTTATACAAATTTAGACTATGCATGAATCCACAAGAATCCAAGTGGCACAAGAATCTAGCACCAAAAGGGCAGCTCAGGGAAAGCTGATTCAATTTAAAGTTCAAAAGAAGAGGCAAAACTAATTCTAGAAACTTGTTCCCTTGAGATGCTCGCAGACGTGCCCTGGTTTAGAAAGAAAATACAGAATGGAAGCTTTGCTCTAAAAGACAGGTTCTTGCATTAGGAAAAGGGTTACTTCAGACTCATTGGCTCTAAATAAATTAGTCAGGAGAAAACTAATGAATGTCACCATGGAATTATCAATAGGACTTAGCCTTCTCAAAATAGTTGTGAATGGGATAAAAGAGCAACAATGAGTTAACCAGAGAGACTAGAAGGTGTTAGAGAGAGAGAAAAAAGAAAATGTCATATAGAAACAAATGTTGGTACAAGCATACAAGTAAAATTTTCAAATGTGTCATTAATAATTTCATTGTGTAATTAATTTGTAAGCTGCTAAGAATTCCTCATTTACTGAGGAAATGTCTGATTGCCACAAAAGAAAACTTGTCTGGCTTTGGGAAGCAACAGGCTTAGAAAAAAAATTAAAGGCATCTTTACTAGAAGTTCAAGGTGAAAACATTGCATTTTTTCTAGTACTTCACTACGTAATCTAAAGATGTCTGGAAAGGAGCCAATCAATTAAAAATATAGCTAGAGGAAGCCATTCAGGGAGAAGACTTGTGGCAGTAGCAGTCTGTGCAAATATTTCTCTTTCTGTTTTTCCAAGCAAAAATTAAACCTTGATTATCCCTTTATAAAAACAGGTACTCATTTGCCAGTGAAATGTGTGAACTGCTTCTCTTTAGCAGCATAGTACCCAATTATTCTCATAGAAAATAATTTTGTTTACATAATTTAGAAAGTATACTGTCTTCTTGGTGTGATTGTTCTTTTTGTGTGTACAGATAACCCAATTTAAAGTAATATTTAAAACTCTATCTTGGATTTCTTGAGGGATTCTGGTTTGATTAGGCCATGTGAGTAGATAAATTAAAAAATGATGCAAATGTGCTGACACAAGAAACAATATTCAAAGGTAGACACCACCCAGGTGACGTTTCTTATTGCTACGCACATGTATGTACATGTGTATGTTTGTGTGTATTTACATACCTTTGGGAAGACACAGGTGTAGCCAGAATGCTCTCACATGGTCGTCATTATCAAAATTCTCACAATATATCCATCTCTTCACTTTTTGAGCTCATGGTAGGATTGAATTCCATGATTTCATGGTTCTATTGTATCTGTGTGGGAACCATGTGACTAGTTTTAAGTAAATATTCATGAACAAAGGTGACTTTGGTTAGTCTCTGGTTAATTGCAAGTCTCTCTGGAGCACCCTTTAACTCTGTGATGTTTGAATGGTGACTGCTTTATGAGCCCGAGTCTCTAAATAACTAAAAGGAACAGAACCCCCTGTTAACCTGTTATGGACATGAATAAGAGAGAAATCTTTCTTGTTTAAGTCATCAAAACTATGGAATTGTTTGTTATTGCAACATACCCTAGCCCTATTCGGACTTCTATAATCTGATAGTAAGGGCAGATTTGGAGACAATTTACCAAAACATAATTATAATTCTGGTGACTCAGTTTGGGAAAAGAAATCCCATTTGACATCAGAGATTCCATCTCCAGAAATCAAGGGCAGTTGCTTCAATTTTTACAGATTCCTATTTGTTTTTGGACTAGACTCCAAAGAATTTGTTGTACTGTACAATTTTTAAGAAACTTAAGCTGAATAAATCACCTGAAAAATTCATTTCTGCTCATGGACTATATTGAATGGTAGCAACCAGTTCTTACCTCCTTGGTTATACCACAGGCAATGCTAGTTTTTCTTAGCAAAGTTGAACTAACTATAACTTTGATTTATAATATATGTTAATGTGATGCAAAAATGATAATTCTTTTGTTTGGGTCTTTCACTGAACACATTTTATTGATTGCAGAGTTGTACAGCCAAAGGTATTGTAGAGAGGGTTGGGGGATGCCTAAAAATGCTGAGTTTGTTGGCAGCATCGAGATGACTCCTAATTTCTAACAGGTTCATTTTTCTGAGGCAGGAGCCAAATGATATATTGTTTTAGCCAAACTTCTTGAAAGATTAGCCTATAATTTCTTTCCTTGTTTTCTGATATTCTTTCTTACGATCATTAAGTTTTAGTCACCACCTTGACACCAAACTTGCACGGGAAAAGGTCTCTAATTTACTCCAGAGCAACAATATCTTTGGGTACATTTTGGACTTACTATTTTGATCTCCTGGAAGCTTTAGAAACTGACACATAATTGTTTATGTCAACTTTATTGGATCCCAGGTTCCCCGTATATTTGGATAAACATTATTTCTGGTGTGAAACAACAGAGTGAGGTTGTTTCTGGATGAGATTAGTGTTTGAATTGGGAGACTGAGTGAAGCACACTGTCCTTCCCAGTGTGGCTGTGCATCTTACTATCTGTTGAGGGCCTGGACTGAACAAAAAGGTGGAGAAAGGGAGAATTCACTCTGCCTGCTTGAGCTGGGACATTAATCTCGTCCTGCTTTCAGGCTGGGGTTTACACCATCTGGACTCCTGGTTCTTAGGCCTTTAAATGTGGACTGGAACTATGCACTGGGGTTTCCTAGGCTTCTAGCTTGCAGATGGAAGATTATGGGACTTCTCAGCCTCCATAATTATGTGAGCCAATTCCTGTAATAAATCTCTTTATATAGATAGATATAGATATCTATCTGTATATACAGTTGTGTATCTGTATATATGTCTGTCATCTAACTGTCTAATCATCTATCTCCTATTTGTTCTGTTTCTTTAGTGAGCCCTGACTGATACACTAACCAATCATTTCCTTCTTGAAACTCTTTCCTACTATTGTTCCTTGACAGCAGTCTAGCTTGGAGGTTCTGTTTCTTCACTGGAATCTTCTACTCCATATCCTTGGGCTCCTTTTCCTCTCCTTACCATGTAAATATTGGTTAGTATTATTTTATTTTCATTCCACTACCTGAATGCTGATGATTTACAAATCTTTGTCTCCATCATAAAGCTGAGTCATGGGTACAAGAAGTACATTAAAAATATACACCTCCTGCTACTTCGATTAGGATGTTCTATGGGGCTTCTATATTCAACCCATCTGACAGAATTCATGATCTTCCCCTTTCTAAGCATCTCCACTCAAAGTCTGTTCTTTTATATTTCCATTCTTGAGAAATGAAACCTCCATCTGCTGAGCTATTAAACCAGAAACATGAGAATAATTATAGAACCTTCATATATAAGTGTTTAAATACTATTGTTTCAACTGCCTAAATATCTGTTGAATTTATCTCTCCCCCAATATCCTCATTAAAGCTACCATATTTCTCTGTCTTCTTGTCCATGAATTAGTATAGATGCTCCCTGACCAGTTCACTTTCCTCCTGTCTTAGCTTCCCAATTTACCTTCCACAGGGCAGTCAGAATGATCTTTCCAAGACAAATCAGAATGTTTCCCTTCCTTGAGGAAAAACCCATCAATGTTTCTGCATTGATTTAGGATTATACTCCAAACTCTTTTATATGGTGCACAATGCTCCTGAGGGCCTAGAACTTTCCTGGTTTTAGCCCTGAAATTCTCGCCATCACAGACAAAGCCTCATTCCCTGGGCACACTGCAATGGTTTATCATCCCGGCTCAAAATATCTTTTTTGTTCTGGTCTTCTTGACTTGTCTTCAAGGTTCTGCTCAAGTTGAGTTTTTCTAAAATCTTATCCCAACCAGTTTTTTCTCTAGCCTGAAATGTGTATACAGTGCTTGTATGTCCTCTAAGAGAAGGGATTATCATATTCTGCTTTAATCTGGTCTTGCTACACTTTGTGCTTTTTAAAGAGAGATGCTCTATTGTTTTTTTTTTTTTTTTTTTTTGAGAGGAGTCTCGCTCTGTCACCCAGGCTGGAGTACAGTGGCCGGATCTCAGCTCACTGCAAGCTCCGCCTCCCGGGTTTACGCCATTCTCCTGCCTCAGCCTCCCGAGTAGCTGGGACTACAAGCGCCCGCCACCACGCCCGGCTAATTTTTTGTATTTTTAGTAGAGACGGGGTTTCACCGTGTTAGCCCGGATGGTCTTGATCTCCTGACTTCGTGATCCGCCCGTCTCGGCCTCCCAAAGTGCTGGGATTTCAGGCTTGAGCCACTGCGCCCGGCCGCTCTATTGTTTTCATCTCTACATTTCAAACACATCTAGCACAGTGATTAGCACATTGTCAGCCATTGATAAATATTTGTTGTATGATATTAGAAAAACTCAGGGCATCCATCTTAATGCTGTGTTCATTAAATAACGTCACTCTTTGCTGATTAACTTAGTATTTTCACATTTTTATTGTTTCACTTTGAAGTACAATCTTTATTTTTCCTCTTCTGTTTTATTACCATTATTTATTCAAAAATAGTGACTATTTTTCTTGTTCTCTTAGTAGATCCCCCGTAATATGTTTAAACTCATTTGAATATCTTCCTGCTTCTTCCATCCTAAAAGATTTAGACATGTTTGGAATAATTAAGAATATTTCCAAAAAGGATTTCTTACAACACTTAGTGAGGATCAAAAATGTGCCAGGTTCTGTAAAACTATGTGTAAACTGAGGAATTTTGACTTCTGTCCTACAAAAGTTTACAATCCAGGCAGTAAAGCTGAACAGTCTAGCCTGAAAATCTATTTTAAAGCTTTTTCCCCCTAGTCTCAAGATACAACCTTGAAGCTTACTGCAAAACCCTTTTTTTCTTCTCCTTAGTCTTAAAATATGACCTTGGAATGTACTTTCTTTGAAACACTATGTCCCTCCCTTTCCTGCCATACACTCCCTCACCTCTGTGCACATTTATCTAATTGTATGGTTGTATCTAATTATGTGCTTACTTAGAAGTTCCAGGGGGCTAATCTTAAAACAGACAAAGCATAGAGACCCAGCTGCCAAATTCCAGAGATTACCTCAAGGCAGTTAGTCAACAACCCGGCCAGTGCTGAGATGACACCAGCCTGTGCTCCAGATGGCCCAAGGCTTCAGATAGCACAAAACATGCAGACCTTGGCCTCAGCGTCCCTCCCTCATGCCTCCCATTCCAAGTTCCCTTTTGTAAGCCCCTCTTCCCAGCCTGAAGTTTGAAATGGTTCCTAGAGGCGTAAGCCAGCTGCATCCCCACTGCTAGCTTTGGAAAATAAAGTCACTTTCCTTTTCACTGCACTTCGTTCTTGTTATTGCTTTTGCAAGTGGCGAGTAGCTGAGCCTGAGCTTGGTTACAAGGCAAGCATATGCTCTTAAGAATTTCATTTTAAAAAGCCCCAAATTATGAATATATAATCTAATGACCTGGGAATCTCTTCCTGTAATATACAAAATGTCTTTTAGGGATAAATAGAGGGGCGGTATTTAGTTTCTTAGGTGCAAAACCCAACCAAAAAAGGCATATTTGAAACAAAACTGAGTATTTCCCTTTTCCTTTTATTGATTTATTTTAAATTTTAGCTGTCCTGTTTTTAATGTTTAAGAGCTTCTTGTCTCTCATTACTCCTTTTAAATAGTATTCTGTTCTTTGTTACTGACATAAACTCATTTCTCAGAGAATAGTAATGGCAGATTTTAAAAAATGCTTCTTATACCCTGCATTGCCTCATCTTCCTTTGTATTCCTATTTTTTCTTTTTTCCCCTATTTCTAAATGTTTTTCTGCTGGAGATTTCTCTAAAATACTTGTGGCAGTCATGTTTTAAGATTGAGGCAATAGAAAGTTGATTGAACGCTGCAGGCCAAGGGAACTTATTTGCTGATAATTTAGAGGGTAGTCCAGGGCAACTAAGCTCTTTCATTAGGACTCTTCAGATTTAGGGTGTCTTTTCCTTGGGACTATTTGTTCTAGGGAGGCATCCTCTCATATACTATCTTGGAGTAGGGCTTTAAGCCCAGCTCTAGCATTCTATAAGAAGGGAGGAGGAAGGAGGCTGAGGCTGGATCTACTATTCACTGTGAAACTTTGTTTATTCAGTCCTGTTGTCAGCTCCATGTTCCCACCTTCCTGCCTTCTACTTAGGTACCCTAAATCTGAAGCCTTCAGATTCTGTCTTTTAAGGAAGCAGTAGTGGTGGGGGTGAGATGTAAGAGGGATAACCACCAAACTGCCAAGGATAGTTGAGAGTGGCATATATATATAGAGAGAGAGAGAGGTTTTTTTTTTCTTTCTTTCTTTCTTTCTTTTTGACAGTCTCGCTCTGTCACCCAGGCTGGAAAGCAGTAGCATGATCTTGGCTCACTGCAACCTCTGCCCCCCAGGCTCAAGCAATTCTCGTGCCTCAGCTTCCCAAGAAGCTGGGATTACGGGTGGACCCCACCACCTTTGACTAATTTTTGTATTTTTTGTAGAGATGGGATTTTGCCATGTTGGCCAGTCTTGTCTCAAACTCCTGGCCTCAAGTGATCTGCCAGCCTTAGCCTCCCAAAGTGCTGGCATCAGGTGTGGGCCATGGTGCCCAGCCTGATCTAATATTTTCACAAAGAATTTTAATTAATGCCTCTGCTTTTAATCATATACATATTACTCCTATTTGAGCTATTTTGATAGTTCAAAAGCAGAATCTTTCAAGGCATCCTCTTTGTAGAACACTGTTCATACTTCTTTCCTATATTAAGTCTGTTACTAATCCTATATCTGTTTTCTATCTTTTAAAAAAGTATTGAAGTCTTTCAATTTCGGTAGTCATATTATTTTCTTCCCCTTGGAACTTGTACCTTTTATATTTTAATTCTCATATTGTTATTTGGGGAAATATCATTATTTCAGGACAGAGAAGAAATAGATGTACATATTCAATCTACTGTTGTTTGAAATAAATTTATGATGCTTTTGTTTGCTAATTTTCCTTTGCCACATTCACTGGTTATGTGAAGAACATACTCTACTACTTATTCCTTCTAAAGCGATTACACTTTAAATTTGTCCTTTCTAGTCACTGTAAGTGCAATGAGTGTGTTGTAGAACATGGCCTATAGATGAACGTGAAACTAACCTTCTTTAGACATTCTAGAAAAAATCAACTTGCAAATATATCTAATCACTAAAAGCATATTCTGTGCAGATAGTCTTTATTTACTAGTTGTCAATTTACTTGCTTATTTACTAGTTATCAAAGGGTTATTTTCATGCAAAATAAAGATATACCAGTAAAAGCCTTAAAACTTTGGAGGGCTGATTTTCCACTTCATGATCTTTTTTTAAAAATGTCAGACATGACTAAGGAGTGAGGTCTTTTTCCTTCCTTTCTATATAGATATCAAACCCCTTTCAATCTCCAGGTTTTGTTGATTTTGTTCTCTGTCTTTTTTTTTTTTTTTCTTTCTATTTCCTGCACTCTGGTCAAATCACCCTCACCACTCACTGGCTGTAATGAAAATGGCAAATACCTTCCCTGCAGCCTGTCTGCCCCTAGCTCAGCCTGTTCTTCACACTGCCACCATAATGATGTTTTAAAGACAAGGATAATCATAATCCTAGAGCAGAGATTGTTCACCTGAAATCATCCATGGTTGATCAACTTTATAAGTCTTTGAATCCCTTAGATTATAGACAAAAAGTAGTGTTTATGATTATTTTATTTAGGGGCGAAGCCTAGGTATTTCGTCATATCCTTGAAAGAGTCTGACACTTCCGACTTTTAAAAATCACTCCATGGAGAATCAAGTTGATGAATAATGATGAGACTAGCCAGTGATCTCAACACAAATGACTACCAAAATCTCTATTATTTTTCTGGAAACAAGATTACCAGAAATCTAAATGGCATCTATGATTGATTGGTATTCTCTTCTCCCCACATAAGAATGGCAGAAAAATGACTGTTAGCCAAGTGTCTGTCAAAACAAACTACAAATATATTCTTTAGAAAACAGGTATAAATATGTTTTGCATATCACAAAAGACACCTAAATTAAGGAAAGCTGTGAAAGAGCAGATAGCCATTTTTCAATTACATATGACCAATGTGGCATTTTTTGATATCTTAGTCAGTTATTCAAAGGTCTGGAAATGCCATACGTGCCTATGTAATTTGGAGTCACTGCTTTTGATACAGGCAGTGAGTCTAGAAATTTCTACCTTACTCAGAACAATCATGCTATGACTTTTTCCTACTTGTGCAATTACCAAGATTTCACACCATTTAACATTTTATGTTTATGCACATGAATATTTACAGGGAAATAGACTTGGGCATTAAAAAAAAAAAGTCATTCAGCTTCCTTGACTTCATCAGGTTGTTTGTGGAGAGGCTATTTCACAAACACACAAGCTACAAATCAAAGGTATATGACACCTTTTTATATTATCAGGCAACATGGTGATGAAAAAAATGAAATGGAGTTTGTGAATTTTATTACTCAGGGTGACAATTTAATATGTGGGTGATGGTGTGCAGCTCCCAAATGAGATTTGTTGCATCCTCGGAACTGCATAAAATGTCTAAAGAGAGGGGCAAGCTTCCATGCCATATATAGACAGACTCATTGGATCTCCGGAGGAAGTTAGATTGGAAACTCGTAAGTCCACAGTCATTCACAGATGATAAAGTGTGTGAAGTGGAGAGCAGGGAGAGGCTGTGCTTGCATGAATAATTTTAATGACTTAATGTTTCTTCTTATTAATTTTAACATAGAGAGGGCAGTGGGATAAGGAAGTCATCAGTCTTGCATATGTCATTTTCTTCTACAGATGGTACAATGGTTGATTTGGTACAAGCATCATACCAAATATGTATGCAGGAAGCCAAAAAATAGAATCAAATCAAACATGATTTTACAGTTGTTATTATTCCTAAGAATATCTGTGCTCCCATAGGCATACGTCTTAGATAGGAGAATGCTATTGGAATTTCTGGTCTCTGCATTGAGGGGCTGTTGGTCTTTTGGAAAGATGTGCTTATTGAATGGGACAAGCCAGATCCAAGAGGCATCGCTAGGGCTACTCCCAGACCTACTTGTGATTCAAGGCTGTGCTTCTCCTCTGCACATGAGACAGGTGAGTTATGTTACTTCCTAGGTAAGAAGGAGGGGAAGAGGTAAGTTACCTGAAATCATCTGATGCATTATTATCCCCTTCAGTATGGACATAATGTCAGAAGAGGATCACTGAATCAGATAGGATAAAGCATTCTTTCGACCTCCCTGCTGGGGGCTTGTCTGTGCTGGACTAGACTGTGCAGGTGAAAACCAGATGAACTCAAACCACTTGTCTGATTAAATGGGCCAACTGTTTCAGTCATCGCCCAAATAAATGGTGTTTCTGTGCCAACTTTCATGTGTATACTTTGGAGGAAATTGTTACTTCCTATTCTGATCTCATCTTTTTCATAGGAATCTTAGAAGTATTGGAAAGCTGTTTTGAAATCCATTTTAAAACCTAAGATTGAGACTCACAATTTTTTTTCCTTTATATAGGTATTCTCAGTTTAAATTGCTTTACATTTTTACTTTTTCATTTCACAGATAGAAAGTAATTTATTTTGTTCCTCTTTGAGGGTGCTAAGATAGGATCACTGATTAGAAACTGATAACCACCCACTTGAGCCAGAATTTCTATCTTCTTATGAAACAGCGCTAAAACATTTGATGTAAAATTCCTCAGTATTTTTCAGATCAAGACCCTCATTCATTTTAACAAAATTTACCTACCTGTGAAAGATCAGAACATGTGCTTTCAGGCTACTATTCCCTTATTAAATCAGTGAGCAAATGGCCTTAAAAGGGATTCAATTGAAATCAAAGAAACATTGTTTGAGTGCCTGTTGTATGTCAAGCCGCTTGAAAACACTGGGGAGAAAAAAGCAAATATTATAGCATATAGGAAAGTAAGTAAAGATATTTAACAAACAACACTAACACAATGTGATAAGTGCTGTGATAGGGAATTTGGCTGTGTGATTTCAGTGTCAGTGGATTTCTTATTCAGTTAATCTCATCTGCCAAAGAAAATATTTTTGTAGCGAGGAAATGTCACCTCTGTTCACCATTGGAAATTACTATTTATCAAGTTGTCATTTACTTGGATATTGTTATCAGGTATTGTCTAACAGATAATATAGAGGGAAAATAGAACTATCCTCAATAGAGCCCCCTTTGACTTGTAAACTATGATACTCATAATGTTTAGTGCATGGTGTATATTTAGCCTCCTGCCCATCTGGTCTTTTGTGGAGGGACTGAACAATTGATTTCCATAAGATCCAGTATTAATGAGAGCCCTCATTGTGGTTATTTTTATTACTCTCTTTCTTGAGGCATTGTTTTCCGAATGAGAATATTTACTGGGTACAAATGTAATTGCTTCAGAGATTTCCAGAAAAGGTGCTAAATTCATCCTTATCCCAAAGCTGAATTTTAATTGATCTTTTTTCCTCACCGACTTCTTCAGTTTTGTTTTTCACCACTTACAAATAAGAATCATTTGCATGTTCCAATCCTGGAGGTCTCTGAGTTTCCAAACTCTGAAGAAAGGGGCAAGAAAGGAAGAGTTAGGGATGCCCTGTATCTGTTCCTATGTGCCTTCCATCTGTCTTATACCTGCTGCGTGAGGAGCTGACGCCAACACCCAAAGCCCTGGACAAAGACTTCCTCCATAGTCACTTTCCTCTGACCCACGGGAACCTCCTTGGTTCCTCTCCCTCTTGCCTTCACAGCTGGACTTCCGCTTGTCATCTTGCCCTGTTGGGATCTGGCACCCGCAGAGCTGCTCTGGAAACCCCATAGGGCCTATCTCTGGCACTTGCACTACTCCACTCGCTCTCAGCAATGTGGGCGTGAGGTGTCCCGTCCCCTCGCCTAACCCTTTCATAACATGGCTGGAAAGTCTTGTATGTACTGTCCCCAAAACAGATCAGACAATGTTGACCCAACAGAAGGAGCATGGTCACCTCAGTCCCGGTGGGGTGGGGGGTTGGGCAGGGGGAAGTACACAGTAAAGGAGGCCTTGGATTTGGAGACAAAACTCATTTAGAGAACCTGGAAGCTCTCTGGAACTGGACACAAACTCTTGTCTCTGTAGTTTGCTTACCCAGGGGACTTGGCTAAGAGCTAGTAAATAACTTGTATAAGTATTATATGACCTTAATACGTAATATTGTTTAGCCTGAGTTTTTGATACAGTTTTCAACTGCATGCTGTTCTAACTCTGTCTGAGTTTCACAGAATTATTTCTCCAGAGTAAATTGACTTATTCTTCTGAGCAGAGCCCAGGTAGCCTAGTTATCTTAACTGTGAGGAACTGATAGAGCTCTCATTCTCCTTGGGGGATGTTTAAAAATACATAAAGCAAAATTATATCATCTTAAGAACGTTATGAGTTTCAAAGCATGCAGTCAGCCCTGCCAAATTTTCCTCTGCCTTTGAGAATTGGAATAATTATTATAAGTGCAGACAACACTAGGTTTCTCTTGCAGGCAGATTTTTGTGATTGCACCCTGGACTTCCGTTCAGAATTCTTTTCAGTTTCTTAGGAAAGCTAAATGAAGTTGCTGCAGTAAGGCCAGAGGGGGGCACCAAATAATCGTGATTGATAGAGTGGTTTGGCTGAGCATTTGCAGGAGGCTCAGGCATCAGGCCTGTTGAGCCTCTGTGTCTGTTTTGAGCATTTTGGGCATAAAACATATTGAAGTCTCTTTGTTTACCGAATCATCATCAAGCCAGGAGCTGACACCCGAGCTTCAGTGGCCCAAAACGTACTCAGCTAATGGGGAAGCAGCAGTTGGCAGGATCTGTGGTTGTAAACATTTTAGAAAAATTTCTTCACTCTTTTTAGCTCCTTCCTTATTTCACTTATCAGAGTTGAACTGTGGGAAGAACTGAGAAACAAACTCTGCCATGCTCTTGGAAGGCGAGAATACAGAGATGGGTCGTTCTTTCTGAGATAGAAGAATTATTGGCAGTTTTCTAGCATTAATTGTTCTTGATAAATTGCTGAAATATCTATTTGGTCTTCAGGAAACTGGGGAGCGTTCAATACCATTTAAAGTGTTTCTGCATTGTTGGCTATTTCAGAAAAGTTGGCCTCCTCTGCTGTATTTTCTAAAGCCAGATTTCTAAATTCAATACAACTTTCCACTACAAATGTTGCAATTTATCTTGTATGGAAAAGTAGTGTTTCATGTTTGTTGGTAGTTACTACTCCGTGTGATCTGTAGTTTGCTTAGATGTCCTTATTTATAGTGAATTAATTTAGAGCACTGGGCAGGGGCCAGGGCCAAGGAGTTGGAATGTCCTCTATTCAATTGAGGAGGGTCTAGGTACGCTTACTTCATTCTTTGTTAATACATGATGGATTCTAAGTCTTCTTGCAAAATACGTGTGGATACAAAAGTGATTAATTATGAGCATGTCAAATTTGAGACTGATTTAAGTCCTGAACTATAATCTGTCACCTCAGTTTTCCTTTTAGACTTTTTGTATGGTTTAAGAATATTTCAAAAGTGTCCTTTGACCATCTCTTTTCGTGAAGTAAAATCTGTGATCATGGGGTTACATGACAAGTGAATTCATGCACACGGAACAATGCTGACTCAGGGAGACAGAGACTGTGAGGGTTCTTATAAATGCTGACCCCTTCCTATGCTGACATTTTCACTTAGTGTTTACGAACTTGAGCTCTGGAGCCAGATTACTTGGGTACTTGGGTAGGAATGTAGGCCCTACCACTTATTATCTATATGACTTTGGCAAGTTACTGAGCCTCTGTGTGCCTCAGTTTCCTCATCCATAAAGTGGAGTGATGGTAGTATCATAGAGTTAGCCTTAGAATTAGATGAGTTACACGTAAAGCAGTTAGAATAGAACCTGGTGTATACAACTTCATAAGTACATGCTAAATAAATGTTTTAGGCCAGGCAGGGTGGCTCATGCCTGGAATTCTAGCACTTTGGGAGGCCGAGGTGGGTGGATTGTCTGAGCTCAGGGGTTCAAGATCATCCTGGGCAAAATGGTGAAACCCAGTCTCTACTAAAATACAAAAAATTAGTTGGGTATGGTTGTGCACGCCTGTAATCCCAGCTGCTTGGGAAACTGAGGCATGAGAATCGCTTGAACTCAGGAGGTGGAGGTTGCAGTGAGCCAAGATCGCACCACTGCATTCCAGCCTGGGTGACAGAACTAGAGTCTGTCTCAAAAAAAAAAAAAAAAAAGGTTTTAAAGGTGATATAAAACCTATTATGTCAGTCCTATAGAAGTTTTCCAGAGAAATTTACCATCAGGTGATTTTTATATGTGCATATATTGACTTAGTTGTTTCCTGTGCCTAGCTTCCTGGCTGGTATCTTAGGACCCTGCTGTTCTTTTATGCCTATAGAAACCTTTGGCCAGGCGCGGTGGCTCACATCTGTAATTCCAGCACTTTGGGGGGCCAAGGGGGGTGGATCACAAGGTCAGGAGATTGAGACCATCCTGCTGGCTAACACGGTGAAACCCCGTCTCTACTAAAAATACAAAAAAAAAAAAAAAAAAAAGCCAAGTGTGGTCGCGGGTGCCTGTGGTCCCATCTACTCGGGGAGACTGAGGCAGGAGAATTGCGTGAACCCGGGAGGCGGAGCTTGAAGTGAGCCGAGATTGCGCCACTGCACTCTAGCCTGGGCAACAGAACCAGACTCCGTCTTAAAAAAAAAAAAAAAAAAAAAAGAAACCTTTAACAGAGAAGAAATAGAACAACCAAAATCTTGTACAAAGATCATATTACAACCGACTCTTCAACATAATTTATTTAACGAACATTCATAGAGCACTTACAATGTGCCACACACTGTTTTAAACGCTGTACAAATATTAACTCATTTAATCCTCATTATAACAGAATACTTGTTGAATTTCAATTAAGTGATATGGGAAAATCCTCTAGCCTGCTGTCTGACATGATAATCCTTTAATAAATATTTGTTGAAGGAATGAATACCTGTGAGTGACTCAGTCAATCAGTCTGCCTTGTTTGGCTAACAAAAAAGCAAACAATACAGGAGGATGTTATATTAAGTGGCCTAACGT